GATAATTCAGCCATGTGAAAATCATTAAATGATCTGCAACATCATCTTTACTAATAGATATTGAATATTTAACCAAAAAAAGAGAAAGCAAACTTGGGCGAACATGAACTGCAATAGAGATCATATTTAACAAAAACACTCATGTAAATGCATAGTTAAACCGTAAAAGATAAATCAAATAAATAAATAAAACGAATGGAAAAAGGGTTTTGGGGTTTGAAGAGCAAGACAAACTTAGGCTAACATGAACTATTTCTGTACTAAAAAACAAAACTACTGGGTACGATGACCAATATTGGAGCAGATGACAGATCCTGGCAGCAGGGATTGTGGTCGGAGAAGAAGCATGAAACATTGAGGAAAGTAGAGAGCAAAAGAAGAGACGCCCACATTAGGGGAAAAGACACATGATCGGGATTGTCTGCCGAAGAAGACCCACGGCCACGGGCTTTTATGATTATTTTGGCGTTCAAAAGTAATCTCTAACTCAATGTTTTAAAATCCCACCCGGAACTCGAATCATTTTGGCCACCGGTTCGACCATTTAATTTGAATGGATGGTCCATTTCAATTTAAAAAATTAAAATTAAAATATAAAATAGCCAAAAACTGTTGTTTAGGCTGAACGGATTAATGGTTTAATTGCCTGAATCAGTGGATCACTAACCAAGTTAACAATTTTGGCCAAAAAACAAGTTAAGGGTGAAATAGAACTGCTTGTCTAGACGATTTTTGAGTGGTCGAACCATTGACTTGTTGATCCATAAAATGGTTTTTAGCTATTTTTTATTTTTTTAATTGGGTATCATCCAGGAAACCGGTTCCATTTTATCCTAATCTTGATTCCTGGCAAAAAATCGTTGAATCGACCAAGGACCCATTGACCCAGTCAGTCGAACCATTGACCCGTTCAATGGTTTTTGGTCGTTTTTTTATTTTTAATTTTTTTTGTCAGAATGGGCCATTTGTTCGAACCAAACAATCGAACCGTCAACCCGAAAACCGGTGGCCAGAATGATTCCATTTTTAGGTCGTATGAGTCACACGCTTGAATGACATAACACATATGGTACTGCTTAATGGACCTCACACAATTTTTTGCCTGTAATTTTTGTTATCAAAATGGGTCATCCATTTTTTTATTTTTTTAATTGGGAACTATCCAGACAACCAATTTTGTTTTACTCCAATCCCAGTCCCTGGCCAAAAACCGTTGAATCAGTCAACAACCCATTGACCCGAGTAGTCGAAGCATCAACCCGTTGACCCATTCAATAGTTTTGGTTGTTTTTTTAGTTTTTGTTGTCAGAATGGGCCATTCGTTCATACTGGACGATCAAATCGTTTACCCGAAAACCAATGGCCAGAACGGTTCCATTTTCCGGTCTTATGAGTCACACACTCAAATTACATAACTTCGTGATTTTTAAAACTGACCCAAAGACTGAACTAGTCAAGGGTCCGATTACCGGGTCAAATGGTTGGCCCATTCTGACAAAAAAATAAAAAAAATAAAAAAGACAGTCAAAACCGTTCGAGCAATTCAATATCTAGTTATTAACAATATCTATAATAACTGTTATATATTTATATATAATTATCTAACAAGTTATATAATTAATAGGAAATAAATTACTCACATGAGAATCTACTCGCACGAATATATTTCGTACGGAGAGAGCACCCCAATCCTATTAATATATATAAGATGCCCCATCCATCACAAACCTGGAATAGTATGTTTCAAATGGGTCCTTCATCTTTAATTACATGTGTTCCAGATGTATGATTTATGGGGCAACTGTAAATTGTAACGCTAACGCATACAAGAAAAAAATGATTAGCAGCTTCCTAAGAATAAATTTGATGTGATCTGGTGGTGAGGACTCTCCGGTTAACACAAAATTTTGGGTCAGAATATAGAAATATTCATCTCATATTGCATTTATTTGGAGATTCATCAAGCATGATGTAACACAGGAACGTTGTTGGAAATCTCAACGTTTTTAAAACACATAAAATTTCCTAGTGATTTCAAAACTGGATCGGACAAAATAGTCAAATCGGAAAAATCAGGAATCGGTCATTTGATCAAATGTTTCATTCAAAACTGTTTTTTGGTTAAAAATTATTGATTTGATTAGTGAATCGTTGACTTAGATAGTTGAATTATCGATTCTTACAATGGTTTTTTGCTTTTATTTTGTTTTTTTTTTTTTGTCAGAATGGGCCATTCATTTGGATTGGACAGTCAGAGTTTGACTACGAATTGGTCCTCAAAAGTCAAAATGGTTCCATATCTGATCTGATTTTAAAAACCTTGAAATTTTTAGCCGCCAGAGATGTTCTTGATGCATGGCTAGAGCTGTAAAGTGAGTTGTGCTGTCCTATCACCCCTGGGTAGAGAAATTTCTTAAACTACCCATATTGTTTAAGTAATTGACAAATTGTACTGTTATTGTTTAACTATTGTCTTAAACCATCTCTACAGTTTTTAACAATTACCATCGTGGGTACATCGTAACGGAACATATGAAATGTTTATTTTACCCTTTAAGTCAAAAACCCACTCTACCTTAATTCTCTCCCTTTTCTATACTCTTTCTAAGGGCCTGTTCGTTTCCTCTTAATTCTTATCTGTTAATAGGAATCTTTTAACTTTAAGAGAAAAATGGTTGTTCATTTCCTCTTATCTCTTAAAGTGCAATCATACAATTTTTTGTTTTTCAATGATACCCCTAAGAGGACCTCGGTTGGAATCCCCATCTCGACTTTACACTAAACAGAAACCCCTATCCAAATGAGGAAAATTTTGAAAGATGTTCAACAAGTGGCTTAGACTAGCAGAGAGTTGGAGGGAATTAGAGGGGATTTCGGAGATAGAAATGGAGAAATGGGTGTCGTATCTCACATTTGATGGGCAACTTCGAAACGCCAAAGACGAATCATTCTCCAACCATTGAAGCAACGACAATGGTGTGACAATCGAATCCAAGAATACACCAAGGACTTGAATTTGAGGAATGCTAAAGGTAAAGGTAGAGCTAATTAATTGTGAGAAACAATAAAGGTGATTTAAGATAATAGTTAAATAAAAAAATTGAATAATTTAAGAAATTTACCTTATTTTTAATTTTACTATACTATTTTATTCTAATTCTATTATACTTTTTTCAATTTTATATTTATTTTAGGGAAAATTCCCGATAAGCATCATGTAATTTAAGCCTAGTGTCAATTTAATACCCAAACTTTAAAATGCCACAATCTATTATCWGAACTTTCAATTTGGGACAAATCATTACCCGACGTTAATYCACCATCAGTCTGAATGCAAAAAGACATAATTACCCATCTGCAAGTTCGACCAATATATGAACTATTTTTTGAAATGACAAAAATGATCCCAGCTATAATCCTTTCTCTGCAAAGTGGGAACCACTGTTCACCCACTCTATTACCTAAAGTTCCGAAGAAACCAGTTCCACACGCCAGTAACATCAAGCGGAATGCGACGCCGGAAAAGTTAAAATCGACGAATGACAAATCAGACAGCGTCGTACGAAGATCTGCTCTGTGTATTGTGGAAAAATTGCCAGAAGAAATTACATCTGCTAATGCTAATGGTACCCCTTTTTCTAACTCAATCGTTGCCGATGCCGGAAGAGACGATCAGGTTTTTTGCTTTTTTCTATTATTTTCTATGCTTTTTACTGTATTTATATTACATTAACTTCTGGTTGATTTTAATGCAAGATTTTCAGGGATTTTCTAATCAGCCTATATGAAGCTACTGCTACTGAACCTTTTGGTCCCACCATCTCTGATGCCTCCAACAAAATTTGGTTTTTCTTAGAGGGTTCAAGGTCTAGCTGTGCAAGTACTGGGTTTGGCCAAGCTGTTTCTGTCAACTTGTTGGTTGTAGCTTCTGTAGAGAGCTCCAGATGAATCTGAGTAAACAAACTGATCAAATTAAAGAGACACAGGTGAGACCGTTACGAATGGCCAGCACTGATCTGACGAAAAGCAGAGACATTTATTGTTGGACATCCATTTCTTCCTAGACAATGTACCAATCCCCATCCATTTCTTTCTGCACATCCATTTCTTTTCCTACATATATACTTCATAAACAGTCACCTTGCCCCTCTAAACAAATCAAATGAAAAGAAGAGGAAGAAAACTAGGGAAAGGGACTTTTTCAACCTGAAAAATTAGGTTCTTTTTTTTTTGTATAACCACACCACCCGAAAGCGCCTTCTGGAAAATCTCATAGTCCAAATCATATTCATCCACCTTCTTCCCACCAACCCCAAGACGAATTGCCACTGCAACCTGATCCTTACCGGTAGAACAATCGAGTTTGCCGGCCACTTTGTCAAGATCGTCACTAAGAAGCGGAGCACTAGCTAGAGCATCCCAAAAGTCGGCAGGCTCCTCGCCCTCATCAATGCTCAGAATTGGACCTTGCACTCTCTCATAACGGACGACCTGGCAGGCAGCCACTCAGCCACTCTAGCACGATAGCTAATTTGTGAAACTGATTAGACGTTAGGGGTTTAAAGCTTACCACCTTCTTTGTCGTTCATTCAACCTGCGCGTGAACAGTCTCCTCTCCTCTCCTTTGTCGGAGTTGATTGAAGCTTACCACTTACTCGAGCAAGAGCAGGAGGTCAGAAAATTACCATGGGGTCGGAATGAAAGGCTACGCTTACCACCTGTGAACACTACGAGATGGTTGACTGGCGGTGAATTAATGCCAAATATTGATTTGTGGCAAATTGAAATTTCGAGTAATATATTGTCACGTTTTAAAGTTTGAGTACTAAATTTTAAAATACAGAGTTTGAGAATTTTTCTTTTATTTTATTAATTTAACTTTTTTTTTCAAATTTTCTAAAAACAAATCATGTGCTCACGACCCAGGTCATAGGTCCGCCGTGGGCCAATYCGGGTTTATCTTTTGAAGGGTTCTGATTCCGAGTCAAACAGGTCTGGGCGGCTGCAAGTGCTGTGAGGTGAGTGTGAGCGTGTGAGGACCATTACGTGGAGGTGGAGGAGACCTGGAGATGGTAAGTGGAGAGATCAGGGATGTTGAAACTTGAAAGTCATGTCCACAAATGGTGTATCGTTGAAGATAAAGCCAAACTACCGGTATCATCTTTGGTGAAAATGAAAGAAGGGGAAGGCGGTGGGGTTGCTGGATGATGATCTCACCATTTCATCACCATGGCGAAACCAGAGCAACTGAGCAACCACCCGAAATAACAAATAGAAAAAGAAATGTATGTGATAATAGATGGGGGATTGAGAGGAGTAAAGATAAAGCAAAGAGTTGTTTCCTATTCCTAATCCTACCCCATTACCAATACCCATCTCTACTCTAATATCTGTGGATAAATCTTCTGGGAATATTTCTATATGTTATCTCTCCACCTAACCCCTGAAAAAATCAACTCTAGAAGTAGCCCATATGGAAAGCGACTTGTTAACAAAGATGAAAGGGGAAGTAATAGTGAATATACACCTGTGGCTTTTGCAAGCTTCAATCAGTGGCTGCACTGCTGGCGATTCTGTGATCGAACTTTCATCATTGAGCTCTCTGCCATGGATTCAACTTTTTTTTTTTTCGTTTATTCAAGCAGTTCATCCACTGGGGAAGGGATAATGGAGAGTCTGTATTTAGCTCCAATTGACATTTGTACCCTCACTTTTTTACTAAGGACACGTGAAATTCATTAAAATGATGGGAAATTTTTACAGGTCAAAACCCTGAGACCTGCTGCTGAGTTTGTGCACTGTGTGCTAAACCGCTAATGGACCCAACCCAAGATCGAGCATTTTAATACTCTAAGAAATCACTCCAGAAGAAAACTTGGAACCCTAATTGTCAATGGGTATAGAAGCAACCCCCTTCCCAGTCTGAAGCTGACTTCCACTTTTAGAACCCGGAACTGGAAGAGGTTCCAAAGAAGGGGAAAAGGGTCTTCCTCGCCGTTCTTAGTTATTACTTGCTCTGTCTTGAGAGTTTAATCCCAATCTGCGCTATTGGATTCTGTTTCTATCCATGAAAACGCTCTGGATCTGCTCTAAAAATGGCGGCTTCCGTACAGACAACGCTATGGGACAGCGTAGTAGAGCTCACTAAGTGTGCGCAGGATAAGGGTAGTGATCCTCTGCTGTGGGCAATCCAGCTCTCTTCGAGTTTGAATTCAGCCGGGGTTTATCTGCCTTCCACGGAGGTGGCTCATATACTGGTTTCTCACATTTGTTGGGGGAATAACGTTTCAATCGCATGGAAATTTCTCGAGAGGGCATTAGCCGTGAAGATTGCACCGCCTATGCTGGTTCTTGCTCTTCTATCTTGCAGGTTTGTGCTTAACCTTCTAGTTGTATCTTCTTCCTTGTGTCTAGGCTTCAATGATGGTTRACAAAACCTCTTAGTTCTATTTTGATAGTTGTGAGCTTGGTCGTTTTTGATCTACTGATTTGGTTACAGGAAGGTGCTTCCTTGTCAGATGTCTATTGTTCATACGTGATTTTTCATTTGTGTTTCTTCTAATACTCTGGCGTTTTGTTGATTTGAATTGGACTATTTCTTTGAATTTATTGGTTTTCCGGATTGGGCAAGACAAGATCTTTCGTGTACTACTATGTCTATAGCTAATGGTGATTCTGTGGTTGTCTAATGTTAACTTTTTTGTCCTTTTTATCAACCTCTATTGATTTCAGCTATTCAATTATAAGTAGTAATTAGAAGTCATCCAGCTGATTAAGCAGCTTACTCAAACCTGCCTAATTTTCTCTTCAAATACTACTAAAATTGTTGTCTGATCTGTTAAGTATCCTCAAGGATATTGGTGTTCCTATTTGTTGTTACTTTCTTTTATTTGCAGTTCATCAATATTTTCTGTTTTCCTTTTTCTGCACAGGGCGCTTCCTAGTAGGCGGTCCCGGCCAACAGCATACAGGCTCTACATGGAACTCCTTAAAAGACATGCTTTCTCCTTCGCATCTCAAATTAATGGACCAAATTGGCAAAAGTGAGGTTTGATTTTGTTTAGTACCTAAAGGAAAGAATAACACTTTTTAAAGGACATTTATTAGAACAATTAACTGTCTGCTTGATGGACCTTGTCAATATTCTGTAGTTTGTCATTTGCAATCTACAGAGCTGTCATTTTGCCATTCTTGAAGAATTGTTTTAAAGTTGTATAGTCCTCTATTGTTCCAGTCTCAGGACAAGAAACAAAAAACAATTTCAATTTCTTCTTTGGATAAAGATGCTCTGCACTCAGCAGAGAATCCCAAATTTGTTCAAAGGCCAAAAGGTGTAACCCTAGTTTTTATTCATGTTACAATTTATTGTAGAAACTACATCCTGTAACTTGTAGATACTTGACATACTGGGGCAGCAATACAATCACTATTGGTCTTCTGCATCCTAACATTAGGAACATTGCTGTCAGTCAGCAAGAAGTGGGTGGAAAAGATTATAGGATTTATACAAATTGGAAGTGCAGCTATGCATTTTTTTCCTTTCAACCCATTAGAGAAAAAAGTTAGCTGCAGCACATGAAATTATAGATTTTCCATTGGTTTTCCTGTAGGCACCATGTGATATGGGAATTGGTTCATTCATCTTCTCTTGACATGTTAAATGTTGAATGAAGACTTGCGAGACTGTTGATTACCATTCACAAATTGGAATCATGCTAGGCCATCAACCTAGGAACTATTCAAATGTGATGTGAAAATAAACTCAAAAGCAGCAGCTATCCTGCTTTTGGAAGATTTTGAACTAAAAATCGCAAATCTGCTTCTTTTGGTTGACGTCAATGGCATGGGCCTGAAAATTACTAAAATCTAGAACAATCATCATCATTATCTAAGCCTTGTTCCACTATATGGGGTTGGCTACATGAATCCTGTTTCGCCATTCCATTCTGTTCAGTGCCATATCAATTGTTGAACCACAGGTGCTTAAATCTAGAACAATAAAAAGCCCAAAATGCATCATAGTTCAGGCATTGCTTTTCATGCATCTCGTCCTGCTACACCTTCACTGTTGTCCTTAGGGGCGTCAATGTTATATTATGACAGTTGGATATTAGAAACAATAAGAGCTACATCTACACTTTTATCTACTTCTAGTCTCATAATCTCATTAATTAAATCTCATTTCTATTTTTATGTATTGGCTTTTCTTCCAATTTGCACTACTTTTACAATTAAAACTATAGGTAGATGTAACTTGTTTTTCTTATGCAGGACCATGAAGTCTATAGATGATGTTCTTCATCTTTCCCAAATATTTGGTCTTCAAGCATGTGAACCAGGGGTTCTTGTGGTTGAATTTGTCTTCTCAATTGTGTGGCAGTTGCTTGATGCAACATTAGATGATGAAGGGTTGCTGGAAATGACCCCAGAAAAGGAGTCCAAATGGTCAACTAGGCAACAAGATATGGAAATAGATGGTCATGATAGTTTTGATGAAAAAAGAACTGAACATCAAGATAGACTACGGAAAGCAAACACTGTTATGGCTGTTGAGTTAATTGGGCAATTCTTGCAAAATAAAATAACTTCCAAGCTTCTTTACTTGGCACGTCAAAACATGTAATAACATCTTAGTCTTTAATTTATGTTTGTGTTCATTTTGCACATCACATGCAACAATTGTTAGTTCTGTTGCTCTTGAGTTGGTGTAGGCCATTGGTATGTCTATGGTTTACGCATGTTCTTTAACTAATCACCCACATCTACACAGAACTTTGGTTAATTAATCTTAGTGTCAGCTACATTAGGGTTTGGATGGTTTTGTACAGTATCTGATTTTGCTACTGTTTACCACTATCTTAGGCCTCTGCATTGGGGAAGTTTCATTCAGCGGTTGCAATTGCTTGGGACAAATTCAATGGCACTGAAGAGTTCAAAAATATCTCCAGAGGCTCTGGTGCAGTTTTCATCAGATACATGTAAGATATTGTCTCGAGAATGCAAAACGAGTACACAGCAGGAGTTCCATGCAGTTATGGCTTCTAGGTCTATGACCTCTTCTGCAGGGAAGTGTTTTGGGGCTAGTCAATCTTCACTTTGGCTTCCTCTCGATCTGTTTCTAGAAGATTCTATGGATGGTTCCCAAGTTGCAGTAACTAGTGCGATTGAAACTCTTACTGGTATGAGGTGTCTTTTTACTTGAGTACTTTAAATATTAATTTCTCAGATAACTGTTATTTTTTTTCCTTTCCCTGCCAGCTTTCTATGGATCAGAGGTAAACGTTTTTTTAGTTTATACAGGTTTGGTGAAATCTCTTCAAGCAGTTAATGGTACCACCTGGCATGATGCGTTCCTGGGTCTTTGGATTGCAGCTCTTCGCCATGTCCAAAGGGTAGATTTTTGTGTGAACAGAATTCAATATTTTTTCCTTCATTTCTTTTTATACCACAATAAAGCTTGGAATTTTCTTTGTTAATCAAGAAGGTAATGCATAATGCTCCCTAGGAATGTCCAAGCCGATGCGCATACTGTCCTTATTGCTTACCAGTCTTTAAGTTCCTTTTTCATTTTTCCCCAATGTCGTAGGCATGTTTGAATGTGAACAAACTGGGAATTGATATGATGGTGCTATGCATCAAGCTTGGTAGTCAAGATTTTAGAAGGCAGTATTCATGGAAAGGGACCGTGCATTTTCTGGCTGAATATGTCTTTGTGTTCTGGATTTTGGCCATTTCATATCCTAATTTCTTCCTAAACTAACAGAAGATAGAAAAGGAAATTCCCATCCAAGGAGCCCATAATTAATTTGTATGGATTAATCAGAGTGCTTGATACACTGTATGAAGTCAAGGAAGCATCATTTAGGTTCTTGTGGAGCATTCTATAATTCTCTGTCATGAGTTATAGTGTTATACACTTATGTGTTTTAACTATTACTTTCACAGGAAAGGGATCCTATTGAGGGTCCTGTACCTCGCCTTGATACCCGCTTATGCATGTTGTTTTCTGTCACGACTCTTGCAATTGCTGATATCATTGAGGAAGAGGAAGCTGCACTTATTGATGAAACTGAATGCAGCCCCAACAACCAAAGGAAAGAAAAACAGGTTGCAGGAAAGCGTCACAAGGATTTGGTGTCCAGCTTACAGATATTGGGTGATTATGAAGGACTACTGACCCCACCACAATCTGTTGTATCTGTAGCAAATCAAGCTGCTGTGAAAGCCATGATGTTTGTTTCTGGTGTCCCAGTTGGAAGTGGGTATTTTGAGTGCATTAGCATGAATGACATGCCGTTGAATTGTTGTAAGTTCCATGTTTTTTGACATTAGAGAATTGATTTCTGTGGATAGGGGTCTTCAGTGTGGGAAAGTGAGGGCTAGCTACAGCATTGTATTTTTTATGCATGTTGCTTACATGCATGAGAGTGAGATCCACCATTTCATGTTGCACATGAGGAGGAAAGTCATAAAAAAAAAGTTGATCTGATTGAGTATTGACACCATCCATTGGTTGGTTTCATTTCATTTAATATGGGTTTACTCCCATATCTGTGATAAGGATGCAACGTGGATCACCTGATATATATATATATATATATATATTATATATATATATATTATATTGTGGGTAGCATTTTTGGGTACTTCCTAGTGGTTATCCTAACGGTTTCAATGCGTTGTTGCTTCTGTTTTGTTATATATTTTGTTCTCTTTTCTTCTAATAGCTGTACTTTCCTTTTTTTGCAGCTGGAAATTTGCGGCATCTAATAGTTGAAGCTTGCATTGCTAGAAATCTACTGGACACATCAGCATATTTCTGGCCAGGCTATGTAAATAGGCGCATCAACCAAATTCCTCATAGTATGCCTGCCCAAGTGCCTGGCTGGTCATCATTGATGAAGGGAGCCCCACTAACTTCATCAATGATAAATGCTTTGGTTTCTTCTCCTGCTTCAAGGTATGCTGGTGCTTTTCGTTCTAGGTGTTCAGATAATCGTTAATCTATTGTTCTTTTTCATAGTTGAAGCCTTTTAGCTACCATATTAAACCAGTGTTCCTTTAGGCGTTGTTGTTTTAACCTAGCAGAAGCTGAGTGATTATAACTATCATGACCATAAAATTTACCTCTCCTCTATTTATATTGTGCTTTGTATGTTTTCTCTTTTTGTAGTTAAATTCTGTATTAATATTATACTTGGGACCACAAGCAGAGGGCCAGCATCCAATATTCTATGGAAGCCATCAGTATATATCTTAGCCCAAAAGTTGATCTTATATAGTTATTTCTACTATTAATTTATAAAGTCCTTTATGTAGTTTGGAAAAATGTTGGTCCCAACCATCTGGAGTCCTGGGATGGGTAAACTGGCTATGGTCCTGACCTTAAGTATTTTACCATAACACCAAGTAATGGCCCCTAGTCTGGAAATTAGGTTGAAAGGTTCAAATTTTTTAAGAGAAGTTTCTGGGATCCATTATTTAGATGTTCCCAACCATGCACATTGGTTTTTCAGCTGTTAGTTATCACTTGTTATGTTTTTCACAAAGGATCGCTATGGAAAAAAAATGAAAAAAATAAATACATAAAATAAATAAATAAAGGTGATCTTCGGGGTCAGCTTTGAGTTGTTTTTACTTACTGTCGGACTCAAATGATTTCCTGGTCTTCAGTTATATGCTATTTATTTCCTGAAGCCAGGTATATCAGATGCTGCTTTTAAATTTACTCAAGGATAAAGCCACTGAATTTAAGCTCATGGATTTGATGGAAGCTTAGCAGAGCTCGAGAAAATATTTGACATTGCAGTCAATGGATCGGATGATGAGAAGATATCTGCTGCTAACATTCTCTGCGGGGCATCTTTAATTAGAGGTTGGAACATACAGGTAATGAGCCATAAATCATTCCTTTGAGTTTGGCGAAGTGATATTTGCATGAATATATAGCTTCTTTATACTATGTTGTATGTTATATTAGTTTATTTTTGTCTTGATCCTTCTGTGTTGGTTCATGTAAATTTTCTGTTACTTGCAGGAACACACCATTCATTTTGTAATAAGATTGCTGTCCCCTCCAGTTCCAGCAGATTATTCTGGGAGTGACAGTCATTTAATAGGCCATGCACCGATGCTCAACACTCTTCTTGTTGGAATAGCATCTGTTGACTGTGTCCAGATTTTCTCATTACATGGTTTGGTAGGTTCTGCTTCTATAATACCTTCCTTAGACACAAATGTGGGAAATAATCCTCTCAGTTATTGAGAGCTGCAATACCCAAACACATGCACGAGTTCTGTATTTGTCAGACACTTCAAAGTGTCTAAGTGTTTCTGTGTCAGATCCCTTGCCAGCTATATTTGGGTACATAGATTGAAAGAATGACAACTCTACTACTAATTTGTTCTCCATCCCCTTTGGCAACACATGCTTACCAATCAATTGTGCTCAAAAGTGTTCCTTCACCTAATTGAGGAATGGATCACTTTGCTACATTAGTAGACCACTACTTATTCATATGTAGTTGGAGTCTTGGAGAGATGAAGAGGAAGAAACCTAAGATCTGACTAACCTGAAATGGTCCAATGCATGCATCCACATATTTTGTGTACAGCAAAGATTTACCCTATTTTTGATTCAGTGCATACTGAATCTTGGATGCCTTGAAGGATTTAGGTAAACAATAAGGACAGGAAGGTTGGTTGAGTCCAATAAAAGAAGGATTATGATGCGTGTATGTAATTGCTATGACAGGTTGCTGTACCCAAATCAAAATGCAACTGGCCAATTGAAATAAATATATTGGGAAAGAAGAAAGAAAGTTGAAAGGAAAAGGCTAGGGGTGCAAATTGGGTTGCCCAATTTGAAGAATTTCAACTATATCAGGCTTGGCTCCACTCAAAATTTAACAGTTCTCAACCCAACCTAACCCAAATTGCAGCCTCAGAAAAAGGGGAGTATCCACGGGTGGTTACTCCACAATCCCTTGTTGTTGACTATGCTCTAATACTCTCCAGTTTTCTGATTTTACTGTCAGGTACCACAACTTGCGGGTGCATTGATGCCAATCTGTGAGGTTTTTGGGTCATGTGTTCCCAATGTCTCATGGACTCTCACAACAGGGGAGGAAATTTCTGCACATGCAGTTTTCTCAAATGCATTTATTCTTCTGTTGAGGCTGTGGAGGTTCAATCATCCACCACTTGAACATGTGGTTGGAGATGTACCCCCAGTTGGGTCTCAGCTAACTCCTGAGTACCTCTTACTGGTGCGTAACTCCCAACTGGCATCCTCTGGAATCAATTCCAAGGATCGAAACAAAATCCGGAGACAGTCAACAGCCACAAATTTGTCATCTGTACAACCTATATTTGTAGACTCATTCCCAAAGTTAAAACTCTGGTACCGGCAACATCAAGCTTGTATAGCTTCAACGCTCTCTGGTCCTGTACATGGGACACCAGTTCATCAAATTGTTGATGGACTGCTAAACATGGTGTTCAGGAAGATGAATAAAGGAAGCCAATCTTTAACCACTGGAACTTCTGGAAGTAGTACTTCTTCTGGTCCTGGAAATGATGATGCCACTCTTAAACCTAAATTACCTGCATGGGATATCCTGGAGGCAGTTCCCTTTGTTATCGATGCTGCTCTTACAGCTTGTTCCCATGGAAGACTGTCTCCGCGAGAACTGGCTACAGGTTAGTATTGATTGGCATAAGCATGCTTACATGGTTCTTGTAGGCATTACACAGCTTAGTCTAGTAGGCAATTGAGCTTGGTCTTATGCATTTGGTTCATATGAGGATAGTAGAGAATCTTTGCACCTAAAAAGTGATTTATTTTCTGAGATGATTTTAACTATTTGACTTTTTTTTCTTCCTTGAGGATGAGGGCTGTTTTTTTAGGTAGAGTCAGCTTCTAGAAATAAATTTTATTAGTAAAACTCTATTTGCAATCCAGGTGATTGTGATCCATTACCATGATTTCAGTCTTATTAGTTTTCACCTTTGGCAACTAGATGTATCATGATACATAATATTAGCAATGTAGATTTCATCAATGCATTTTGCCTATGCACGTTCAGAAACGGCCAAGATTAGGTCCATATCCAGCCCACCCCTCACAAGACAGGAGGACACCAGATAGCCATGACCACATTAGTTAATGGCCCTAATATGGAGTAAACTACATGCTGATGATGTAATACGTGTCTTTGTGTATGCTCATTGTAAGTAAGTTGTAACTAGGGTACCAATATATGCTTCTGTTCATACCTTTTATTTGGAATTTGGATGGGGTCACTTTAGGACATCTTGAACTTTGCATTTCAGGGCTAAAGGATCTAGCTGATTTTCTACCTGCATCATTGGCAACAATTGTTAGCTACTTCTCAGCTGAAGTGACACGTGGTGTTTGGAAACCTGCCTTCATGAATGGAACTGATTGGCCAAGCCCTGCTGCAAATTTGTGCAACGTTGAGGAGCAGATCAAGAGGATTCTGGCTGCAACAGGGGTAGACGTCCCAAGCCTTGCAGCAGGTGAGTAGTATTTTGTGCCCTGTTGTGTTACGTGGCATTCACATGCTAGCATCATTAGGTATTGCTAAAATGTGTCGATGCTCACATGTCACACATGGATTGTATGTGCAGCATACTTAAACCGTCAAATATGCCTTCTATTATTGGTAGTGTAGAGAGAGAGAGCCACCCATATCTCGTTTTATAAGACTATCTTTTGCTTTTTAGAAGATTCAAATAGTGGTTTTGTTTTAACCAAGTTAATGTTTTTACTATCCTCTTATGAATATCACCGTACCCTTCTGAGTTTCACTTCACCAACATTGGGGGTTGGTGATTTAATGTTAAGAAGTAAAAGAAACCCTCTACCTGTTATAAGAAACTTGGTTGAAGGATTGGAAACCACTAAGGACAATGAAGCACCATTGGAAGGACAGCCGTGAGACAATGCCAACAGACTTCTCTTGGGGTCATAATGAGTACACTTCCTGCCTCTGCATTAAAAATAGAGCAAGTGCCAAGGTCATTTGGGCGTATGAAATGGGTATGTAAAGGATCCATGGGGGATATCTCCAAGGATCTTTTATGGGTGTGGAAGCAGTGGTCTCTCATCCTGCAAGCAGTACTTCTGTTATTTATCCCCCCCCCCACCCCAGAGAGAGAGAGAGAGAGTAAAAGAAGGAAAAACAATAGGAGGAAAAAGCATTCTCCTGTTGGAGAAACTGCTAAATGTAAATAAATTGATAAGCAGCCAAAAATGTGCCTTTGTATTTGGAAACACGAGTGTCTTCATATCGTGGTTGTGATTCTTATTTTTGATATTTTCTCTTATGACAGGAGGAACCGCTCCAGCCACACTTCCACTGCCCTTGGCTGCCTTTGTAAGCTTCACCATAACCTTCAAACTTGATAGAGCCTCAGAACGTTCCCTCAACCTGGCTGGCCCAGCCTTGGAGTCCCTTTCAGCAGGTTGTCCATGGCCTTGCATGCCTATTGTAGCATCTCTATGGGCCCAGAAGGTGAAGAGATGGAGTGATTTCCTCATCTTTTCTGCATCTCGGACCGTCTTCCACCATAACAGTGATGCTGTAGTTCAGCTCCTCAAGAGCTGCTTCACAGCAACACTTGGCCTCAATTCCACACCCCTCTCTAGTAATGGGGGTGTTGGAGCCCTTCTTGGACATGGTTTTGGTTCCCATTTCTATGGAGGATTCTCCCCCGTTGCCCCTGGGATTCTTTACTTGCGAGTATACCGATCAATCAGAGACATCATGTTCATGACAGAAGAGATTCTCTCTCTTCTAATGTTTTCTGTGAGAGAAATAGTGGGCGATGGGTTGTTGAGGGAAAGGATGGAGAAGGTGAAGAAGACAAAAAATGGGATGAGATATGGGCAAGTTTCACTTGCTGCAGCAATGACACGGGTGAAGCTTGCAGCTTTGCTTGGGGCATCATTTGTATGGTTGTCTGGAGGGTTGGGTCTCGTTCAGTCGTTGATCAAGGAGACTATTCCTTCTTGGTTTATATCTGGGCATGGATCAGAACAGGAAGGAGGGTGTGAGGGGATTGTGGCGATGCTGAGAGGCTATGCACTTGCTTACTTCGCTGTTATTTGTGGTACATTTGCTTGGGGCGTGGACTCAACGACTTCAGCTTCAAAGCGGCGGGCAAAGATCCTTAGAGCTCACATGGAATTCCTAGCAAGCGTACTTGATGGCAAGGTTTCACTAGGTTGTGATTGGGCCACATGGCGGGCTTATGTGTCAGGATTTGTGAGCCTTATGGTTGGGTGTACACCAACATGGGTGTTGGAGGTGGAGGTGGATGTCTTGAAAAGATTGAGCAAAGGATTAAGGCAGTGGAATGAGGAGGAACTTGCTCTTGCTTTGCTGGGTAGAGGTGGAGCTGGGGCGATGGGTGCAGCTGCCCAACTAATCGTCGAGAGCGAGATATGAGTCTGTTTCTCAACTAACACTTTTGGAGGTGAGAGAGTTGTTTTGCATCTCATAATAACAATAATGTTCGATCTTTTTATCTAGTTTATTTTTCATCAAATTTGTGTAAAGTTTACGTAATGATCAATGAGAAAAAGTGAAAAAAAAAAGTTGATGCGGTTTGCAAGCGCTTGTTTGATGTTGTTTGGAGAGAGAGATCAAAGACTAAGGTTGTGCTTGGTACCATTGTCGTTTCTACTTGTAATGTTTTAGGTTAGTCAATATAAAATTCCACTTTAGTATCTTAAACTTTGGGGATAGTGTATGTTAGTGTTAGTACCCAAACTTTCAAATGTATCGATAGTTTCACTGCAGTACCAAACTTTCAAAGTAGTGTTAAGTTGGCCCAAAACCGTGTTAACTGGTGTTAAGTATTATGTAAAAGGATAAAAATGCCCCTCATCTCTCAAACAAAAATCAGATATCTCATCTCTAGCTTTAGAAAATGGAGGTCTCTGTTGCTGGATATATGATCGAGAAAAGCTCAGGTTGTCAAGATAATTGCCCGACGAATCCAAAACCGCGACCCATGTGCACATGTTCAGGTGGCAGTAGCTGGGGAGAAGATGAGAAGATGTTGCCGACGTGCTGACAGAGAGATTCTGAGAAGGGCATTAGCGCCTCCGGTTCGTGGATCTAGTCAACCGTGCTGGTTGTCTTCCCTTGAGCCTGTTTTTGAGGGTGTCGACGTTCTCTTTTTCCATTACAGAGTACGCTAACCACTCTTATTGCATGTAAAGATTGATTTATATCTGTTAGATGCTGTAAAAATTGTCATTTATGATTGACATTGATTTTATCGGGGCCATGGATCCTTGTAGTATGACAGAACGCCATCCTGGAGCACGAACCAGCGGGGGCGCCAACCTTTGCCGTAATTCACCCATTTGTACAGAATACCGGAGATTCCATTTCCGATGATGTCATTTATCTTTAACTTCCTTGGTGATCCCCCAACAACAGTTGGGCCTCATTCATCATGGCAACCTCGACGACAGGTCATTCATTGAAGGCACAACTCGCTGCATCATCCAACAATGATCGAAATCGTTAGTCCCACAGTTGTGGTTCATATCATTGCCGCGAACTCCATTGCCATGGTTGTAGTTGTTATTGTCATTGACGTCGACGGAGGATGTCCGAGGATACGCATCACGGCTGCCAGCAGCCAAGTTGGATCTCGTAGTTGCGGGAGGTGGATGTCGAGATATGTCAAGCATATCCTTTAACTGAGAGGAAGTCACTGCTTGGCTTTGCTTGGAGACTGTAGAAAGGCAGCAGAAGGGATGCATCAAGCCGGATCAAACAATATATCATTCCAAAGAGCGAAATCACCGTGAGCCAGAGGCAGTTACTGAAAGAGAGACAGGCCATCTTCATGCTCATAGGTGGAAGTAGTGGTGATGAGTGATGGTGGTTCACCAGAAAAGTTGGTTGTGATGCTTTAGCTTATTTGACGAATAACTCTTGTCAGTGGTGTGGTAAGGCTATGTGCCGCAATCTCTTTGAAAGACGAAGGAAGGTAGAGGGCAATATGTAGGCTAAGGTCTGTGATTGATAGAAATGTTCTGTTCGTTGTGATTTATGTCTCCCTTTATATGATGAGATCCCGAGGTCCCGAAAGGAATGAGTCAAAAGAGTAATTCCCACATGGAAAAGGGGATTTTTTATTCGTTGTCAGTTGTCAGGGAGACACTGCTAAGGTTTCGTTATGTGTTTTATGAGATCTCTCTAGGACGATGTTTCCTTTCGTCTGATGATTCTCATAATACATATATACTGCTTCCTTTTGTGAGTTTCCTAAACTAACATGGCATGGATGATGTTATAGTCTTATGTGTCTCTCTTAATTCTATTGGGCATTCTGTCACGAGTGACATCAGCCAGTCATTGTGTTTCTTCATTTGTCACTGATTTGCGAGGGTTGTAAACTCATCTCAGGCTCGCGATGGCTTTGTGTTCATTGCAAGTCTGTGCATGCTTTGAGTTTATCACAGCTTTGTGTCGAGTTGTGAACTCGTCACAGGTGTGTAGCATTGGTTTAGCACTTTCTATGCTATTGCAGTTGTGATGATCAACATGTATCTGCAATTCTATTGAGCAAAAATTCCGATATGGCGTCCTACGGACGGTTGTTTATTTATGATTATTAGAATTTTGACATTTCTCCTCAATAAAGTAATTCTAGTAAGAGGTGTCATCATTTCTCCCACCCTCCTTTCCGTTCTGATTAGAAGTGGGCCTACCATCTAAAGGTAGAAGACAATGAACGATGTCTTCATTAGTCCAGAATGTCAAACACCTCAATCGGTTCAGTCTCAAGGTAGAAGACAATGAACTGTGTCTTCTTTTGAATGATAGTTTTTGACATTTTCAAAACTTCTAATTTGCACATGTCATAACATGATCAGATGACTGAGATCGGTTAACAACAATGACCAACTTGATACTTTTTGAAAGTTTGGATACTGTAATGGCACGTTTGAAAGTTCGAGTACTAACTTGACACTACCCCAATGTGATTATTCGCCAACCTTAGTTTTAGCTGAATCGTAGCAACCAACCTTTAGATTTGGCCATGGAGTCCTTGTGCTTGAAACCGAGACCCTCAAAGACAAAAAGATCTTGTCTTTGGCCCAGTATGGTCTTGTGCTTATCATTTCCGACTTGGTCCTTGTACTCGTCCGTGGTGCTCACCCTCCTCGCCGCCTATGATGATGCTGCCAGCTGCTGAAGCAAAGCAACACCACAACAAATATGAACGCGGCAAAGCGAGTGGATCGAGCCATGTCCGCTGTGGTTCTACCAACTATAATGTTATTGGTATGAATTAAAAAGAAAAGTGAGAAACTTTATATGTAGAATCCGTGTTGAGGCTGAGTTAATTCAAACACGCGAGTGGGTAGAACCATCTGTGGTGAGGCCTGATCAGGAGAGGCACTCATGAACTTCAGGCATTATAGTAGAGAAGATTGAGGGCACAACAGACAGGTGGAATGCTACTTGTTGGAGGAGAATGTCTTCGTTCGTGCCTACTACTACTACAAGTGTCGCCCTTCAATACTCCACAAGTAACGCCTGCATGTACAACAAGCCATTGAGCTATCATCTTTTTTTTTTGCTATTTGTAATATTAATAATAAAAATAATTTAGTAAGTTATTACTAATTACTTAATAAAATAATTATTTTTTTATATTATCCATTAGGCTGCGTTTGGAAGTGATGCAAATGGAGTATAAATCCTGGTTTAGAGTAAATTTGCACTCTGTTTCACTTTTGCTTATGTTTGGCAACATTACATTTATGCATTGGCAAATGAGAGACCAATGCATATTTACATTGATAATAAGATGTAAAAGTATATCAATAAAAAAGAAGTAAATTTGCATTCAAGTGGGCTTTTGATAAAAAAAGGTATATATTTTATTGGAATTCGTATTTGCATCCATTACAGCTAAAAGTCTGTTTGATAAGAAGGTAAATTTGTCAGTGCAAAACTAACTTAACTTTGAAATTTATATGAACCATTTTACACTCTACAAATTTGCTTCCACACTTATTTGCATTGTTTGCAAACACAGCCTTAGTGTTCAATTTTATCTATTTTATTTTATTAATGATAAGTTGTTACAATTTTTTGTAATTATTACTTAAATATTAGTAAATATATGTACTTAAGTGCAGTCATAATTAAATTAACCTATAGACTATTTTTTTAATCATAATTAAAATAATCTAAACTCTAGCTCAAGGCTTAAGACTTCGGATTGGGCTTGGATTGATCCTCAGCCCAACCTAACCCACCTAAATTGCATTGCTAAGAGCAATGTGACATTCGTAATTGAATTGGACCAAATCAGGTACAACTTATGCATGCATAATTTTTGGGTTTTTAACTATTTTTAGAGGATGGGCTGCCCCTTTTACGTAGCTCAACGAACCAAAAAAAAAAAAGAAAAAACAAAAGATCTTGGGCCATATTTTAATAGTGTATTAACAGGGCTGCTTAGCCTAGCTTGGCCCACAGCCCAAGCATAACAATATTTGTCTGAGCCTGGGACAGGGATATGTTTGCCCATGTTAATTATAAAATTATGATTTTTATAAATTAAAAAATATTTAATTTTAATTTATTATAAAAATTTATACTTATACATTACTATAAAATTTGTTATCTAAATATTATATCTAAGTTAAGCTTAGGGGTTGCTTAACTTGGGCCCTGCCTGTTAGGGTTGTGAGTGGATTCTGAAAGTTAGATACCTAATTAGATTCTAAACCCGATTATCCCAGATTTGGATGTTAGAACTTAATTAATAATCAGATTGAATGTAAATTTAACCCCATTTGATCCAATTAAAATCTAAGTTCAATAAAAAACTATTATCTTATGTGTATATATATAGTACAAATTATGTATGCATTATAATTATAATTATACAAATCTTATAATTGATAAATTCAATATTTTATATTTATTGTACATGTATGCTTTAAAAAGAATTAGTTTTTTAAAACTTTTTTAGCTTTTTGGTTATTTTAAACACAATAAGATGGTTGTGGATGGTGACCCATGCTCACACTTTAACACAATATAACATTATTTTTAATTATTTGTTTTCATTTAATGGTTAAAAATTTTCAAGAATTATTAATTATCTGAAATTTTAAGTAACTAAAATTACATTTATTAAATTTACCATGTGGTTGAAACTTAAACACAGTATATCTTTCTTTATAATTATTCGTTTTCATTTAATGGTTGATTTTTCAAGAATTATTAATTATATGAAATTGTAAAGCAACTGAAATTATATTTTCAATAATTAATTGAATAATTTTTTGGAAAATTTCTGGAAATGATTTCCTCATAATTACATAAGTAGTGTAATTATAGTTTTCAAAATTAATTTTTTGCCAAAAATAATTTTCAATAATTTTCCAAAATTACAGAAATGTAATAAATTCCCCAAATTTACACTAATATATCTTTTATTTTCCAATAAAAATTAATCAAGAATTATCCGAAAATGTAATATAAAAAGTTTGGAAAATGTAATAGTTTTCAGCCAATAAATTCACAATTTTCAATAAAACAAAATTTATTTTGTGACAATAAATTAAAATTTACAACCAATAAATTGATGAACAATAATTGCAATAATTGACCATTTTAGTATTTTTATTGTTATTGAATAATTATTGAATAACAATTATTTTCAACCAATTTTCAATAATTTGAATAATTTACCGAATAATAAATTTTCAATAATTTATTAAATGCTTTTCTGGAATAATTTCCTTGTAATCAAATAATTTCGATAACAATTATTAAATAATTTTTGGTAGATTATTTTTCAAAATAATTCTTGGTAGATTATTTTCCAAAATTATTTGGTAATTTTTCTAAATAATGGATTATTTGATAATCATTTGTTTAAATAATAATACTAGATTATTATTTAAGTAAATTTCGAAAAATTTATTAAAACTTGTTTTGTTGTTTGTTTGATTGAATGTTTTTAATTATTAAATAAATGAGGTATAACGCATAAATAATTGATAAAGGATAGCGGATTTGGGTAGAATATTATTGATTGTTTTAATGTTTTACTGAATTAAACAATAGATAACGAATTTGGGTTGGATCTGGGTCGAAACATCCAGAAACCGACTGAAAAGCATTACCTTCTTAACCCGGTTTTGCTACAGTGGTCGCTGGACGTAGAGACCATAGTACGAAACAGGGTTCTATTTACAATGCGACTTTTTGGCAGAAATGAGTGGTAGGTTGCCGAAACGACTCCGGCGACCAATATTTCTAGCAAAACGACCCTTTTGGACTTTGATGGCCTGTTTTCTTTAACGTCTTGAGGCAAAAATCCTCCCCTGTTTTGGTCTCTAATGATCGGTGGCCCTATTTACAGTGGGGTCTTTATGGCAGAGAAAGGAGTGGTAGGTCACTGTAACAACTCCGGTGACCAATATTTCTAGCAAAAATGACCCATTTGGACTGAATGGTCAGTTGACTTAGAACAAATCCTCCTTTTGGTCTGTAACGATTGGTGGTATTTAATAGTCTGTGGTAAACAGGTTAGAAGTAATGACATCGTGCTGGAAGAATTTGGTGATGCAATTGGGTTGTATGGGTCGGGTTCGGGTTGGTTCAAGGTTCTTCGGGTTGAATTTTGGGTTGCGTTATCAAAATGCTAAACTCTAATTTCAAAATATAATTGAAATTTAAAAAAAAATATATATGAAAAATGTCAAAAGTAAAAGAATTAACTTTAAAATTTCAAATCTAAAATAAAAAACTTTGACATGTAATAATTTAAAGAGTAAACAATAAAAATTAAAGACTAAATAGAAAAAATTAAAGAGTGAAAACTTCTAATAATGCATAAAATAATTTCAATCAGACGACAATCGGGTCAGCGGGTTGATTCATGACCCAACCCAACTCAATTTTCGGGTCGGGTCGGGTCGCTTTCTCGGATAATTAAAAACCCTAACCCTGTTTTTTCGAATTGAATTGGATCAACTTTTTGCCAGATCTAACAAGGGATATTGAGATAAGGGATGGGTGTTTTTGATCGTGCGATAACAAAGAGACGTGGGGAAGGGGAATTTCCCTTTTTGAAAACTTGCCACGTGGCTGAATAAAGGAAAAAGGAGGAATGAGAAAGAATGAATGAGAGCAAAGGTGGGGAAAAACGGAAGGAGAAACCATTCAAAGAGAATGCAAGGGAGGGCTGCTGAAGTGGCCTTTAACACTATATAATATAGCATAGATAGCGAATCAAGTATGTCGGGAGGGTAAAATTCTAATATTTGATGTTTCAACTCAGATGAGGATGGTATGGATTTACAGCATTTCAAGAAGCCCCAAAAAAAAACCCAAATTCACCCATCGTATATAGATAGATAACTAACAAACCATTTGGAATTTGAATGAAGTTGGCGCTAGGGGTACAGTTTGGGCGGGCTTGCATTCAGCTTTTGTCAAAAATTGAATAGACCTGATCCAAAACTCGAATTTGAAACAGTATAAAATGTTAACTCGGGCCAATTGAATGCACCCCTAGATGAAGTTGAGGTGGTTGGATTGGGTTGGCTCATGGGCACCCATTGGGTCTGATAGATCCAAATCCTAATGTTCTCTCCCCCAGCCCCATGCCCCAGTGGGCACTTGAACCGTTTTTGCTTTCGGGTTGCAGGTCATTAGTTTGACTGGTTGGGTCGAACGATTCAGATCGTGTCACATATGTGTATGTATGCAGTATATATATTATATGTATTATTTTATATTTAATTTATGTTTTTTAATTTAGTTTTAAATTTTTTATTTATAAAAATATTAAAAATTACAACTTGAGGCCAAAAAAGGGTTTTTTTTTCATGAAAATAATGGGGCAAGGCACACCTACAGCCCCTTGGGATGCATAGATCTCGAAAAATTACCAAAAAAAAAAATCAGTCAAATCAGACATTAGAGTGTAAAATTATGACCTCCAAAAATTTGCATGCATTAAGTGTGCAACCCACGACCTGGTCATCAGGTCGAACGGATCAATAGTCAAACTGGACTGGTCCAACAATTCTTGACCAAATCAATGGTTTTTGAATATTTGGCAGGTCTTAACTGAATTAGACCCAAAATCCTAACCGGAGGTGATGGTTCCAACAGCCACCAGATCAACAACAGATTGAAAACATTGATTTAGAGACCCATGAATGAATTGATGGAACCTAAGTATTAACGTCCCAACATCGGATGGTGGAAAAATTTGCAACGGTCAATTTAGGTGGTCTCACGTAGAGTAGAATATTTCATGTTCAACATGGCAATCATCCAAAGAAGGGTACTGGTTTCCCAACCTTTTCTTTCAAACCAACCACAGCCTAAGCTTTCATGGGGAACTGGGCTTGCTTAATTTGTATGGTGTAAATTGGCCCATGAATACCATTGGATTGGCATTTATTAAAGATTAGATGAATGGATTTTAAAGTTCAACCCAACCCATCCAATTGCCAATTTGCCACCACGTAGGAACTGAGAAGGTTTTTGTTACTTCAATTCAATGTCTGCTGTGAAAGAAATTGAATTGGCCAATCTTTTTGGTAGTGCTATTTAAGCAATGAATGACGTTCTATGTCACACCACAGAGTCACAGACAGACCTCAGTTAACAATGGCAATCTTATAAGAGAATCAGGATCCACCATTAGTGTGTAGGGAATTGCATTATGCAGAGAATCAGCATTTGATTGGACCATTTTGCCCATCTGTGCCCAAGTGCAGTTTTGCAGTTGGAGTGATTTTTCTTCCATGGTCTAAATGATTTCAGATCAGATTTTGGCCTAAATAATCCCTAAGAATCTCCATTGCAAGGGAAATAAAATAAAATAAAAATTTCTCAACTAGGAAGGAAGAAAAGAATTATCAAATAGTCCACAGGATTCTTCCAGGAACATCTTTGCTTAACTGAAATGACTCATTTCTGAAAGTAGTGAAGTTATTTGATTTCAAATGTTGGAACCCATGAAAAAATGTCTATTTTACAGTTGAGCCCCTCGATTATATAATGTAAACTATATTATAAATTTATAATCATATTTTATACAATTAAAAACACACTTGCAGAATTATATCATAGTAAATATAACTTATTATGTTTTCATATTAAAAAAAAATTCTATGATATTATAATATACAATATATTACATCGCATGAAGAGATTATGTGGGAGTTCTATGGTGAATGGCAATATTGTTGAAGGTTAATGTTGTCTAAACCTCTTAATTTTGTTCTGAATGTATCCAGAAGGGAGATCATTTCTAGAAATTTAAGACATACAGAAATTAGAGGTGTATTGAGATGTTTAAACCAAACAACTACTGACCTTAAGTCCTGTGTTTCTCTAACTATCCTCCATTCATATCTCAATATTCTTTACATTATTGGTCAGTGTCCAGACTCCAGAGCTTTTCTGTCTTCTGGTTAGATACAAGGGCATAACCACAACCTTGTTTACAATCAGATTCCCAGCTTTTGTTGCCTTCTTGCCGCTTAGGAAGAATAAAAAAGGACAATCATAGAGTTCACTTGCTTGGGAAAAGGTATCCCAAACTTGTCTTATTCAAATCTTATTCTTATCAAAGGCCCCTCCAAATCTGCAAACTTCTTTCCTATCTGCCTATTCTGTCTCTGCCTGTGGCCTTCTTTATGGACCATTAGCCATCATGTCTCTCCTCTGAGAAGATGGTTAAAACCACCAGGTTGGAACAATTTTATAAGGTGGGTCTCAACTCCCCTCCATTTGTACTATATCTTTATTAGGCAGGAGATGGTGACTTATTCAGACCATCCATTCTAATAAGATCAACAGGTTGTCCATGGTATTTTTACCTTGTTTCTTTCAGGGATTCCATGAGGAATAATCAGAAACAGACAGCATAAACATTCTTGCAATTTGCATCACTTTCTTGTACATATTGTTTTACTCCATTTCTTCTACTTATCTGTAAATAAAAAGTAATTATTAAAAAAAACAATTATATGAGACCAACTTTCTGCAGGATGAGTCCCTCCATCCAACTAACAGCAATTGTTCTGCCAGTTTAGTCTTATAACTGTAGATGAAGCAAATTGTTCTGCCAGTTTAGTCTTAAAACTGTAAGTGAAGCAAATATGTTGAGTTTAGTAATTAGTGAAGGTCCTTTAATTCAGAAAGCAATCTCTCTGAATTTTTCTCTTCCTTCCTTCAATCCTTATCCTTCACTTTGGATGGATGTCTTTTCAACTACTACCACCCTTTAAATTCCACTTTGATCCCACCCACCTACATTACTCCCTAAGTTGTTGAGGAATTCATGAATTGGAGAGAACTCTTCTGCTGTGTTTACTTAGCTATCACGACATGTATCCTATTCAAATAATAGTACGCTGAACTTTATTTAGTTCTCTTTTTTAATTTTTCTTTTTGCTTTGGATTGTGAACATTCATGTAAACACAATACATTGGTCAAGACCACATCTTGTTCAATCTTATCAACAAATTAAACCCCTAATTATGGCAGCAAGGAAATAACATATTTATTACATTTTTACAATGTAACTTAAATGCTCAACAGTATATTTCATCATACAAAATATTCATCTGGAATGAGTGGGCAGAACTTATGTTATAGGACTTAGTTGCTGAACCGCCACCAGATTTAGATATTCCGTAAGACTTTCTTTTGTCAGGTAAAAGTTTAAGCCCTATGTCCCCGCATTTGTGATGATTTTTCGTCAAGCTAGAAAGAGCTCTCCAGGGGCCTAAAGACCATGGCGTTTGATGTTTCTGCAGCTTCCATGATGAATTAAGACCTCGGGCTTATTGTTTGGAATCTGGAGGAGGTAGAGGTATAAGTAGAAGGGATGGTTTTAACTAGTGGGATTAAAGACTGCACAACATCAGTCATGAGAGGTCGGTAATCAGCTTCTGGTTGAACACAAACAGCAGCAATGGCAGCTACCTATAATATCAATGTGTTGAGAATAAAATTCGTCAGTTGTGATCATGGTGAAACAGATGGTAACTGTAGAAGGAGAAAAATGACCTGAATTAGTTCCTTCTTTGAATATTGGCCTTTTAGAGCTGGATCAACCATTTCTACAACTTTCTCTCTGTTGGTCAACCTTGGAAGAGCCTGAGGCAGAAAGAATAAATAAGCAACACTTCAAAGATCGGTCAACCTTTAAAGATTGGAATCATGCATGCACAAGAAGAGCAGTCAGGGAAGCTAATAATGGTCCCGATGAAGGTTAAAAATGATGGAGACCGGAGGTTATACTAGGCCTCTCTGCAGTTGAGGTAGGTTCATCTCAGAGAGATGTTCTGGGCTCCTCATGCATAAATGCTGATTCTTACTGAGGTATCAAATAGTAACCAACTAACCATTTTGAAATTATCAATGAATTGCCCCCTCTCATATTACTAGACAAATCTTAAATTGTGATCAAGCTGACAATTGGAAATTACTCTGTAATGGATGATATCCTAGGAAGCAGAGGTAGATGTTGATTCAATCTCAAGCTGTCAATGGATGGCACCGTTGTTATGGCTCTTTAATTTCAAATGCTTTTGACATTTATTGAACATAAGAGGAAACCATAGTAAAATCGGTAAAAAAGACGAGAGCTGTTTTATTACTAACCCATGAGACAAGGAAATGCTCTCCAGGAGGGCGCTTTGTATCGACGGGTATACGACCTGTTAGGAGCTCTAGAAGAACAACCCCGTAGCCATAGACATCTGATTTTGCAGTTAGCTTACCAGTTGAAGCACACCTGCATTAACAAGCAGTAACAACAATAATCAGATTATTAAGCTCATAGTTCACTCAAATATAAATTCAGAGGAAAAAGGGAAAAAAAGTGAAAAAACAATCACAGATTCTATCCTTTGGGTGTGTATCTTTCTCCCAGATTGAATATGCTAGTTATAATAACTTTAGTCACAAGAGTGCAGTTTGATCCTTTTGATGGTTCCTTCTTTAATTCTATTAAACTTGCCACCGAATGCTTAATTTGTTCAAAAGGTGTTGACAGTGCCTGAAACTTGGGAAATGACCCAAATTCCATTTTCACCACCAAGAGTGTTAGAATTCCAAATGTGGTCATATATCTTAAAATCATTTTCCTTTAAATCGAACTTTTCACATTAGAGTGGCCTTGAGTGAAGGCAGATCAARATGGTCCCCCAGCTTGCCTAAGAACCGGAGCAATGAATGTATAGATAGAAGGCCACACACAGTCACTCCTAGGTCACTATCAACTGCATTAATGCCAAGGACCAGACACTCTGGAACTTATGGATGCCAGCTGAAGCCTAGAAGTAGCAGGAAAAGAAATACTAAATTACTAATAGACTCAGCAAAGACCGGTCTGAGAGCACCAAATACCTACAAAGCCCAAAGAAAGAGGGGGGTTACTGGATTCTGCTCTTGGAAGTCATTTGCAGACTTCTGGGACACCAGAGAGTCAATGGGTTCAACACACTTAAGTAGCCATTGATAATATTTTTTGTTTCTTTCAATTAGCAGACTATCACGATCCCAATCATGAATCATTGCCAACAAGACAAGTGCGTTCGGATATGGAGTGTAGCTTATGGTTACATACATTCTGGCATGGCCCCCACACATGGATGACCATGTCTCAGTCGTCTGCACATGGAGTGTGTCATGCCAACCGGGTAAATGCAGAGAGACAGACACCCAAAAGATAGGTAGGTGGCAGGTAATAGAAGACTTACTCAGGCGCAAGGTATCCCGTGGTCCCTACCACAGTGGTTGTGATCTGACTATTGATCCTGTCGGGACCTGTCTTGGCCAACCCAAAATCTGAAGCTTTGGCTCTCAAGTTCTGATCTAATAGAATGTTGCTGCACTTGAAATTCCGGTGGATGACTGTTGGGACTGCAAGCTCGTGGAGGAATTCGAGTGCTCGAGCGCAATCGAGCGCAATCCTTAGCCGGGTTGCCCAATCCAGGGGTTGATATTGCTTGTGGGTCCGGTGGATGTGGTGATGGAGGCTGCCATTGGGCATGTATTCGAATATCAGAAGCCGATGCTGTTGGTCTGCACAGTAGCCCAGTAGCTCCACCAAATAGGGGGAATGCAGTCGGCTCAATAAATCCACCTGCATTTCAAGTCAAAATTGGAAACCATTTTCTTACCCACCATGTGCAAGTGATAAAAGCCTTCATAAAAATTTATGGATTAGGTCTATGAGTATGTGTGTGAATGTGTGAAACAGAGAGAGAGAGAGACAGAGAGAGAGCAAAGACAAGGAGAGGGATTTCTTATCTAATTGTTTGTTTGAATATCAAATTGAAACTTCCCATCATTTTACTCTGTCTCAGCTCTACTTCCCAATTTAATATCCTTTGATTCTATTTAAATACAACCATAGGATTATCTAGGAGCTACAATATATTTAATCTACTAAAATATCAAATAAAAACAAGAGAGAACAAACAAATGAAAGAGCAAATAAAACAAAACTAATAAATGAAGTGACTCACCTCAATCCTGAACTCACGCTCCCCTTGTTTTCCTTCTCTGTGTACCATCTTGATTGCTGCCACAGTCCCATCACCCAGAGTCCCCCTATACACCACCCCATGTCCTCCCTTGCCTATCACATTTGCTTCACTAAATCCATCTGTTGCCAATTCCAGCTCTTTGTAGGTGAAGACTTGCACTCCTCTAAATTTGGCTAAAGGGATATGACCTGAATTTCCTCCATAAAAACAACCACTCTTGACATCTGTCTTAACATCAAACACCCAATCAATCAGAAATTCAAATGCCCACAAAATAAAATTAGAAAACTCTTTCTTCCTTCAATCAGGGAGGATGAGATTCACACAAAGAGAAGTATATATAAAATTTGAAGTGGGTTCATACCCGGACTAGCACTGAAACTTCTGGTTCTGTGAACACCGAACCTACAAAGTTTGATGTTGTTGATGTTACTGTTGTCGTTGCTACTTTTGCCGGTGCCATTGTTTTTCCCAGACCTAAGTTTGCGGAGTAGGATTACAAATAGACATACGGCGAAGGCCAAAACAATTGAGATGATGGGTATGATGATTATGAGAAGGGAATCCCGAGAGAGAACACCATGGTGGTCTTGATGGGACTCTGTGTGTGAAGTGTATTCGTGATAGGCATATCGGCGTGCAGTCAGACTGGGTGGTCCTGACGGAGCGTCTGATGGGAGAACCCCCATGAGCTCTAAAGAAAGAGGAGAAGAAGAATGAGGGAGAATTATAGAGGAAAAAGGATAAATAGAGAGAAAGAAGGAGATTGTGTTGGCATCAAAGAGGGTGGATGCAGATACATGATGAACTCGTTATGGAGCGGAGGCTGAGTTTTCCTTCCTGGGAGGTCAACTTGCCTGTATGGCCACATGAATCCATACTTGTTTCACGTGCATTCTCTCTCTCTCTCTCTCGTGAAGTTTAAAGGTATGATGTACTTCATTCGTCCCTTCTTTTGTATTATTTATTAGTATTGTCGTTGTCTTGTTATCAGAAGAGCTTGGAAGCTTTTGCACTACTGTCATATTATACAGAAATATCAATAATTAACTAAGGCAATCTGGGTAAAAACATCATCCCGAACTTCCGTGTCGTTGATCATTTTTTTCCCGTGCATCGCACGGGATTTGTAAAAAACAATAAATCTGATAACTACAATGTTGTTTAAAATAATTGGTCTTTATTTTTGTTATTTGTTACAAAAATAATAAATTACTGCTAATTACTTAATAAAATAATTACTTTTTATATTATCTATAAGTATTCTATTTTATTAATGATTAAATATTATAATTTTTTGTAAATATTACTTAAATATTTAAAATAATTAAATATTAGTAAATACAAAAATTTAGGTTATAGTCATAATTAAATTAATCTAAGCCCGAGCTTTAGGTTTAAGAATTCAAGTTGGGCTTCGCTTGATCCTCAACCTGACTCAACCCCCTAAGTTGCAACCCTAGGAGCAATGTGACATTTGCAATTATCTGAACCAAATTGAGCTATGGGGGATGGGATATCCCCATTGTGTAGCCCAATGAACCAAAAACATAAAAGATATTGGGCCAGATTTTCATAGTGTATTAATAATTTTATAGGTTGCCTAGATAGATTTTTTTATATATTCATTATAATAAACTAAAATTAATTTATAAAAGAAATCATAGTTTTATAATTAATATAGACATGCTTGTCCCTATCCCAGCCCTGACAAATATTATTACACTTGGGGTGTGGGGCAAGGCAACCTTAAAAACTGTTAATACAATAGTAAAAGTTGGCCCAAGATTTTGTATTTTTTGGTTCAATTGGCTATACCAATGGTGATAGTCCAACCCCCATAGTTCCTTTGGCTTCAATATTAATAACTTTTATCTAAAATTAGTTAAAACCCCAAAAATAATGTATGAATGGGTTGCCCTCGTTTTGGTTCAATCTAATTATGAATGCCATTTCTCTTAGGTGTGCAACTTGGGTGGATTGGGTTGAGTTGAGGATCAACCAAAGCCCAACCTATAGTCTTAAATCTCAAACTTGGGCTTAGATTAATTTATTATGACTACAACCTAACTTTATATATTTACTAATATTTAAATATCTTAAATATTTAAGCAACACTTACAAAAATATTATAACATTTAATCATTAATAAAGTAAAATAAATAAACAACTATTTTATTTAGTAATTAGCATTAATTTGTTGTTAGCTATACTTGTGTTAATTTTTATTAACTTTTCTATTAATGTTTTTTTAATTTTCATCATGGTTAGATAAATTGTTATTAATTTTTATATTTCTAAATTGAATTTAAATGAATGCTATTTTTATTAATTTCTATTAATTTTTGTTATAAATTTGTTTTGATACTAATTTTTATTAGATTTTATACACTTTCATTTTTTTAAGTGGAACTTAAATGTATGTGCACTATATAAATAATAATTTCAAATTAAATGGCTAATTTAAAACATCTATTGAAATATTACACATATATACTTATTTTAATTTTCATAACTTATGTTAGTGGTATTTTATTGTTACTAACTTCATTTGTTGGTATTATTAATTTGTTTACTATTAATTATATATCTATTTTTTTTATTAATTTAATATCTTAACATGGTGAAATTTAGGAATGGAAATAGCGCATGGACCACTCTATCCTCATTTGGGTATACAAATTTATGCACGTTTTAAAAATGACCTATAAAATGAACACTGTAGGTTTGGATTAGAGATGAATTTGTCAAATCAATTTACAAATTGATTTAATAGTACTTCTAATAACTTAGCTTCTTTACTATTATTATTTGCTTCATGGGGCTACCTCCATCCCCAATAACCCCCAACCCTAGTAGCAGTGATAATTGGTCCTAGATCTCCACTACAAACATCCAGAAAAGCTATCAACTAAGCCATCATTAATTGGTAACTTAACAATTCAAGTGGGCTCCTCACACGGGTAAGTATTTATGTAATTTTTATATTTAATGAGACCTAAAAAGTTATTTTATGAAAATAATATTAAGTATTTGTTTTGCATTTATTAAGCTTTTCTGACTCAACCCGAAGCTTCCAATTCAGGAAAAAAAAAGTGGAAGAGTTTTAGAATCTAAGCTACCAACTCAATTATTACCGAATGCCAATCTGTTCCCCATAAAAAATCCAAACTCAACTCATGTTAACCACAAAATAAACTCCCTTCTACATGAATTCATTAGCAGATTACCAAATTGCCCATTTCAATTGAAGCAACCAAAGCATAAATAAAACTCAACCAAGTAGTAGATAACCCAACCCCTTTTTCTAATATTTCTCAAACAAAGCAGAAATCATGGTGTTCCAACCCTCTCATCATTCTGTAGAACAACTGCTGCAACATAAGTATGAGGAAGATTATTGGCTACCCAAGTATATATTTTTTAAGTCTGTGTACCACTGATATAGAACCAATTTTCATTCATTATTCAATATAGAGAGTTGGAAAGTTACAAAAGCTAAAATAAAAACAACAAAGCTCAAGTCTTCGAAGCAAAATAAATAACATAATTAAAGAAATGAAAGTTTAATTTGCTTCTTCAATGATGTACCCAATCCCATAAGCCCTTCATGTGGAACTTTTGCAACTTTTACCAATGAACAGAGCTCATCGGCATCTTCCTTATCATCCCTCTTTCAAGCAATGAGAACTCGAACTCACCTTGTCACACTCTAGATCCCCTATTGCTTTCTATGTAAACCTTTTGATTTCATGTATGGCTCCCATGCTCTTGAAAGTGCATTGATGTAAGAATTTGTAGAGATTGAAGGTGTACTCCCTAGTGACGATCACCTCTCATTTCTATCATTGTTGCTGTAGCTTTCTCAAAACCCCTAAATCTGAAAACCATAAAAAGAACAAAAAAAAGCATAAAACAGTATCTGAACTTTCAAACATGTCACTGTAGTATCTAAACTTTCAAAAAGTGTCAAGTTGGTCTCTACCGTTAATTGACTATCAGTTATGTATTGGAAATGTCAAAACTACCCTTTAAAAATAGACATTGTTCATTTTCTTCTACCTTGAGACTGAACCGGTTGAGGTGCTTGAGATTCCAGACTAATGAAGTCATAGTCTTTGACCTTTAGATCTGAAACACATTCTTGTCTAATTATTTCTTTACTTTCAGTTATTGTTTCCCTCTATCATATTTCATGTTTTTTCTCTCAAGGTAGAAGACAATGAACAGTCTTCTTTTGAAGGGTAGTTTTGATATTTTCAATAGATAACTGACAGTCAATTAACGGCAGGGACCAAGTTGATACTTTTTGAAAGTTCAGGTACTGTAGTGGCAAATTTGAAAGTTCGGGTACTAACTTGACAGTACCCCAAAGTTTAGGGTACTAAAGTGGAATTTTCTCCAAAAAAAATGAGAGATGCGCATAGCTACTATTTTGCACATATACGGCGGCAACAATCCAAAGATCCTCATAAAGCTCTCTCATTTTGTGCCGAATGAAAGAGAACCAATAGATAATTGCACCTGAAGCAAACCCCAAAGCATCTAGCTCTATGCTTCATTTTGCACTTATTTCATAGTTTTCTGTTCAGTTATTAGAACCTGCAAGAAGAAGAAGAAAGGAAAAGGAGGAGAAGAAAGTGAGGATATAAAAGAGAATGGGTTGAAACATCTCCTAAGAAATGCTCCATTTGAGGGAAAAAACCCTCGATCCAAGCATTGCTTTAATTGAGGACAGTAAATGATTAAAAGAATTTTGTTGCTTTTTTAATTCTAATGCTGTTTAAGAGGTAATAATGTATTTTAAAATGAGAGACCATTCACCTGCCTTCTTTTTGCAAGAGAGTTGCTGATGGGTACAAATATAATCAATGGTTGATAATAATTACTTTTTTATATTTTAAAACAAAAAATACAAAAAAAATTGAAAAATAGATAAATAGGTTGACATGCTGACATGAACCGTCCAATTTTATTATATATATAGATTAGTATTGTCGTTGTCTTGTTATCAGAAGAATTTGCCCGATTGATTAGTATTGTTTCCAATCTGGGTAAAAACAACATCCCAAACTTCCGTGTCGTTAATCATTTATTTCCCGCTGTTTGCCCAATTGATTGACAATTGAGAAATTAAAAACTCCCTACTTCTGATTCAGGCTATGGACCTCTTGTTGCCAACTGCCTGGAGTCTAGAGAAAAGATAAAAATGCTGATGCTTTTCTTTGATAATGTAGAAGAAAACTCGTTCTGTGATCTTTGGCAATGCGTAGAGTGAAGGGTGTCAAATAATTGAAACTCGTCTGGAAACTGAGACTGGGTCATGAGGCTCTCAATGTCTCTAGCATCATCTTTGATTGTTAATCTACTCTTTAGGTCTAAGTTGGGTCCCAACTCCCAAGAACACACATCTTCCTGGACAGCCCAGACCTCTCTGAAACTCTTCTACAGGCAAGGGACCTCATTGACGCATTACAACAAACACATTTGATGAGCTACAAATTAACAACAGTTCTTCCACAAGGTTTGTTTTCGGGACATATATAATGGAAGAGATTGCAGTAGATACAACAACTAACATAACATAATGGCAATATAGCGGAACTATCAAGTAGTAGAGTAGTAACAATTGACTGGGCACGGTAATAATCAGTGGTCTTCTGGGCTGGTCCTGAGGCCTATAATTATTGGGGGCTGGTCGGGCAGGAAGCTTTTAGTGGTTGGACTCTGCAGCGTGTCAATCCGGACACTCGATTTGACACTGGTCGCTGAATTAGAGCGAACTCTATATGATTTTGATTGTACTAGAATGATCTACAGACACATATCTTCTATACCATCATCATTAGCTCGTATCACAAAAAAAAAAAGTAGGATTATTTATCCAGTAT